CGTCTCGGGGTTTATAACATCACGTAACAATTGTGTCGCTCTCTAGAATTAAAACTTGACACAAGTGGCGTCCCGCCAGCGATCAAACCCGGCAGACCCTAGACTAATGAACAAAAAGTTTAATTTCATAGATTTCATTTTAACTTTTCATCCAGTTCTTAGACTAAAATCATACTTAGTAATTGGTAACTGGGAAGATTAGAATTATAATAACTGTAAAAGTATTTAATTGATGAAATCATATGAGTTAACTGTCTATCATTGAACATTTCATGAACATTGATTGTTTAATCTATAGTGCTTAGTTAGAGTTGATGAATTGATGATTTTTTTTGCTTGCATATTTCATTTGATATAGATTGTAGAACATATTACATGCTGACATCATATCATTGAGAATAATAATTAGTGACTGAGTGTAACATCGCTTTGATCATTGATAGGCTTATCCTTTTGCTGCTATAGTATTCTATAGGCTGTTATCCTGGTAGGCTGCTTTGCATCATATACATCTTTGTGCGGCTGTCATAGTCTACGCTGGTGCCAAGTTCACTGTACTTTGCTCTGACATATCCTTCTTATCCTACCTCGGGGAAGTATTACATTTATCTCTAGATAGAATGGACTTACGTACCGAGTACCAAAAAGATGTAAGAAAATTCGGGATAGCTGAGGGTAGAGTAGGGGCACAGTTAGAAACATATATTAAATGCCAGATGGATACTTTTGATTATATGGTTGCCCGTAATGCTGCAGAGAAAAAGCGCCAGTTGGAGCTAGAAGAATATAATAGGCAGGAACAGCTTAGGAAAGAAGAGTATGAAAGAGAGGAACAGCTAAGGAAAGTAGAGTATAAAAGAGACATACAGCTTATAAGAGAAGAATTAGAAAGAGAGATAGACTGTATTCAGGAAGGATTTGCTGAAAGGATGCGGCGTAAGAGTGAAGAAATTCATCGAAAACTGCTACTTGAGAGGGCAGAAAAAGATAGGATAAAACAGCAAGCAGAAAACATTAGCGTTGAGGAAACTGCGAGTATATGCGAGGAAAAACCAATACCTCAGACTGAAACTCAAACAGATATGGTGGGGGCCCACCTAACCATTGAGGTGTGCACTCCTTGGCCAACTTCAACAGCTAAGGAAGAAAACATAAAAACCGGAGGACAGTATCTCACACCTCTTATTCCTACAGAGAAAAGAGGCAACAAGGAGAACTCTTCTTTAGGGACAACCAGATCTACATTGCTGGACCCCTTAACTTCCATTCTTAAGCCTAAAAGGAAAAGATGGAACAAGAAGCAGAAATCTTCTAAATGGACCAGATCTACATTGCTGGACCCCTTACTCCCATTACCTCAGACGAGATAAATGAGAGCGAACCTGACAGTAGCGACAAGCGTGATAACGGTTGTAACCGTAGACATAGCGGTTCGACTGGCACACCAGACATTAATGAGGACGAGGGCAAAGACTTACCCAACTCCCATATCCCCTTTGGTCCCTTCAAACAAGAAGAGGAATTAAAGCAGACTGATGTAGGGAATAACGCTGAACCGGTGTCCCCTATTTCCTTGGATGCGGTCGCATGCCTAATGGAATGTGTTAGTTCTGACTTTACACCCGAAGGAGTTGACTGCGATGGCGGCAACACACCTCCTGATTTGCTTTCACTGGACTTGGCATATGAAAGCCATACCAATGTGAATATAGCAGATGAGGAGGAGAGTTCCCTGGACGTCTTGACGATCTTAGAAACTCGACATAAACAGGACAATTCTGCTAGGCCTGTGCACGTCGATAATGGACAGACAGAAGTGTTTGCCATTATCGAAGAAGAAAATACTTTTCGTGAGCAGGGAGACAACTTGTCTCTGCTGCCTTGTACAGCTGGGGCGACAGGGATACTTCTGATGAAGGACCCTGAAGCGGAACAAGCCGTGAGTAGTAGGGAATCCCAACATTCTGGTCTTGTAGTACTCTTTGCTTCGAATGAAGTGACAGGGGTATCTCAGCTGATGGTGAAAACTTCATTGCGAAGAAATCCCACTTTACAGTCTACAGGAAACCCTGAGTTTTTTACTGATTTGACTGTATACCCTGACTTGATTTCGTGCTCTGACTCTGGACTGATCTTTGTTAATAACAATTCCACCCTGACAATTTGGCAAGGTAAAGACAGAATGCACCGAAGAGGCAACAAATGGACACTCTTCAGAGAAATTGTTAGTGGTAAGTGGCACTCACTTCGTGTGATCACGATGAGTGAAGATATCCCTCGTTTTAAGAGGAGATTTGTAACAGATTTTTCAAGAATCTGTGGACGGAGGAAAAGAGGATCCAACCTGAATGCAACTAATCCTTTTAGTAGAACACTTCAGGCTCTCCCTAGGCAGATAGGGCGCGGCGAGGTGAGGAAACGCACAGAGGTTGTCAGTCAACGGCGCAGAGGAGTCCCGTTGACAAAGCATGGATCTTTGATTATCCGATGGAAGGAGGAACCTCCGGACAAAGGGACATTACCGAGCGACTGCTTGGAATACCCGCTCATTACCAGGATCAATGACAGTATTGAATTATCCTGGATGAAAGGACACGGGACGTCTGCAGAAGAGTGCAGGAATTCCCACTGCCATAAAGAATACTGGAAACAGAAAACTTATGGGCAGTTATGCAAAGGAGGACTTGAAATTCTTGGAAGCCACAGAGCGTGCTGATGTGCGGTCAGGGTGACCGAACTTAAGGGAGAGGCTCTGTGACAATACGCTCGGTGACTCCAGAATGTCTTTCCTCAACCTACTTTTATTTGTATGTATTTTGAAGCATACAAACAAATAGGGATTTGGATACATCCTTAATCTAAGTAAGACGACCACATCACACCTTTAATTCTCCTGGACCGTTGGTCATATCAAACACTAAAACTTTTTCCCAGATGTTAAGTGTTGAGGTACAGAGATAAGACTGACCAAGCAGACTTACTGACTGGAGATTTGCACACCATCTGTTGGTGTCAGATATTTTATCTCCTAGCCGGACTTTTAGGAGCAGCTAACTCCGGCTAATTGTGTTTAATTCCCCCTGAGGTTACCTAACTCGACGGCATGTCCGATGGTCACTATTGACACAGTGAGCGGAAAGTGTTGGCAGAAGAATTGACAAAGTCGGATTTTATTGTGATGACAGGTGAAGTAGACTGGAGGTGTGACTTGTCTTATTTGCTCTGGTCAGATGAATTGACCAGGAGATCCTAGCGTGGGAATTTAAACAAGTGTTGTACAGCCCTGACTGACAGCGAATAAACTTACCCACAGGGGAGGAGCTGTGATATCCTTGAATGAGAATGATTTTAGGCGTAATGTAGGAGGAGCTTGATAAAAGTTATAAAGGGGTGAACTCTAGGTCTGGTAAATGAGACGCTGTCCAGCACATGCCATCTGTTGGGCTTAACCTAAGCTTGAGACAGAACTTTTGGCATCGTGGTTTCATTTTTCCAGGTAAGATCGAAATTAGGTTCAAATCTATATTTTATGATAGAGATCTAACTGTCTTTTTACTCAAGTGTGTGTCTTCATCACTTTGTAGTACTCCTAGGCGGACATTTCTTCATTCTCGTAGGGCACTGTCACATTGCTTTATTTCCTATTTGATAGTGTCATGAATGTTTTTCGTGTACATGTGTTTCAATGTTGTAAAACCTAAATGTTGTTGTTGCCATTGAAATTTAATGAACTATCATGTTTTTGAAATCACAAGCGTGAAGATAACTCTGGCAATCTTTTCACGTGTGGTTAATGTGAATCTGTATTACATACAGCTTACACACTGAAATGTGTTTAACTCTCGGGAGGCTAATGCGGAGATTGATCCCGGAGAGTAAATCCATGAGATTTGTTATTTGATTCGCCCCAGAACTATTGTTAGCTTTCTGGGCGCGTCGATTGTTCCAAGCATAGATTCCAGAACTGGTTCTGTCTGACTGATTGTCATTTTGAGTCTGTACGAGAGCTGGCACCTGACGTAGAAGACTTGACTATCATTACAGGACGTGTAGAGGAAGGCAGAAGATGTAACAGTTGGAATGTGAGACATAAGCCCTTCCAAATTGGACAGGAGTGAATGTGAGCATGAGGGAGAGATGAAATGTTTTATTTAAATAAACATGCTTGATGTTAGTATAATATACATGCTTAGTGTACATCTAGAGCAGATACTACAAATATGCGCTTGTTTCTTCATTCTCCAGTTCCCACATTGGGCAGGGACTAGTAGGCATCCATTATTTGCCGACCGTCGAGTGTAACGACCTGCAGAAAGCAGTGAGGACGACAAACTGGAAAAGATAGGCAGGGTCTCAAGCCGAGAACTGTCCAAAGGTTGTTACTTTCCAATACCTTTATGATTTCATCATCCACATCATTCCAACTCTTCTAGCCTAAACAAGTTCATTTTAATTTCGATTTATTCAAATAAATCATGGTTGACCAGCCAACCAGACACTTACCCAACCCCTACAAACCAGCCAACCAGACACTTACCCAACCCCTACAAACCAGCCAACCAGACACTTACCCAACCCCTACAAACCAGCCAACCAGACACTTACCCAACCCCTACAAACCAGCCAACCAGACACTTACCCAACCCCTACAAACCAGCCAACCAGACACTTACCCAACCCCTACAAAACAGTCAACCAGACACTTACCCAACCCTACAAAACCAGCCAACCAGACACTTACCCAACCCCTACAAACCAGTCAACCAGACACTTACTCAACCCCTACAAACCAGCCAACCAGACACTTACCCAACCCCTACAAACCAGACACTTACCCAACCCCTACAAACCAGTCAACCAGACACTTACCCAACCCCTACAAACCAGCCAACCAGACACTTACCCAACCCCTACAAACCAGCCAACCAGTCAATCAGCGTGTCCAGTCTCATTACTACCAGCCCCATTCATCCAGCAGGGTAAAAGATAAAACCACTTACAAATTTTTGCATTAGGTTCCACGCATCCGTGATCTCTTTCTGACCTTCTACCCCGTACGATGAGTTCAGTGACACGGACAACTCGTTTAGAATGGCGTCTCCGATCTGTAAAATAGACATCGAAAACAATCATGTTAAACAGACAACGAAAACAATCATGTAAAACATACAACGAAACAAATGCATGTGACATGGGCAAGGAAAAAAAAATATGTGTACACTAATCATTATATAGCAGGTCTCTCCCATCACAATGTGGCTAACATTTATCAGTTTCTGAGACAAGACACTGTTTATGAGCAAATTAACCTTGACGTTCAAATCTTCTAGGATGTTAAAATGTGTCCGTAGTATTCTAAGAATGTTTCTATTGCATTTCAGTTTAAAGCGCCTACTTCCTTTCCTAATGATTGCGACATAGTCCACGACTGAGCACCGTATGTTGCTACAGGATAGATACCTGGTCTAGTCATTTCCACTTTGATTTGGGAAGGGGGGGGGGGGGAGTATGTGTGTGTGTACAACGATCAAACACCCAATAAACGACACACACAGATTGAGAGGGAGAGAAAGAGAATTCTCCAAAAAGCACGCACGCAATAAATCACACAC